TCACCATTCCTAACTCAACAAGAACTCCCTCCAGATCACTGTAGCTGCCAGGAAAACCAGTATCCGACAAACGAGACACCTACTTTAAAGAACAGTGTGCCTCACAGTAACAGCCATGATAAATGCCATGAGTAATGACAGATCCATGTGCTATCAGCACTCTGTATCAGCCACCTACTGGCTCATCTCTTCTTTTGATAAAGGCTTCTTACGTTCTGTGTGAAATGTAGACTTTTTATCTGAAGGTGGATCTCTCTGCAGAAGTAATAGGGAGCAGAAAGCAGAAGTTCTTGAATCCTAATTGCAACTGTGAAGCAGAGTTGCTGTTGAACAAACAACTGGAGCGCCTTGCCTCAGTTTCCCCATCAGTAATATGAATAATGTCCGTGTTGTAGTCATGCTGCATGGAATAGTTAGTATTTGCATGGAAATGCTTTGGACATGCTAAGCATCAGATAATCCCCAAGAGATACCATCATCAGTGTATCAATTGTGTCTACACAGTGAACAAAAGTAGGCACAGATGCTAGCATAATGTTAGGTATTTTGGTACAAAAATGAAATAAAGCTCTTGCCTTCTGTCCTCAGATTTCTTGTCAAAAAATCAGTGCTTCATATGCTGAGGTAGTTAGACATACAAAGCATATTTCTATCCTACTTTATTTTATTCTTTGAGCAGAACTCCTGATAAAAAAGTGAAGAACCATGATTGAATCTTAATACAAAAAAGGGCTTAAGTTACATTCTCCTGGGATTATCTGTAGCAAAGCATTATAAGTTTCTCAATATCTGACCTAATTATAACTGTCCTTCTAAATTTTGTTTCCCATAAGAGCTAAATGTCTATGGTTAAAAATAACATTTGAAGCTCCTCCAAGTTCCAATAGAACTTCTTCAGCCTCTCTCACATCTAATATCTATTTTTAATTTGTTTTAATTTTTTACTCAACTTTACAAGTTATGATTTTTAGAATGCCATTCTGCTCTATAATCCATCTCCTAAAAATGTTTTGATTAGATAAACACAAGAACTGGAAAAGAGAAAACTTTATTATATGTGTTTATTTTACATTGGAAAAATACCACAGCTATTGAAACAAGTGATATGGAGGCACGAGGAAGGAAGGATGGACCTGTGATTGAAAAGAAACTGGCTCACCTAGAAGTGTGTCTTCTGGATTATGCAGAGGTCTCTGGCAGACAAACATTGGGGATCCTATGGTGGCTGTCCATAACATTGTCCCTATCAGAGCACCCATCTCTGCTACTAGTCACTATCCCAGGAGGCAACACAGGCTCATCCTCCTGTGACCTACTGAGTCTCATTTAAGGCTCCCCATGTCAATGCAAAAACTCCTGTGGGTTTGTGCTAATACTGGAATGGCAAAATTCTTTGGATGTATTTCCTTCTGCTGCCCCTGCTGTTGGGGACATAGACTTTTGGCACAGATCTATGGTTGGGAACACCCTGCAGATGCAAGAAAATCCACTTCTCATGATGGTTAGAAAGCCAGTAGTCTTCTGAAGCCTTTGTGCCTCAGCTATATATCACAGACACCTTCCCAACCAGACCTGCCAGGGTGAAGTCCTGAAGTTTGCCAAGGGCATTGCAGACGTTCAAGCAAAGCATGTTGAAAAAGTGCAAGGGATTTCTATAATTGGTCTGTGCTCCAATCTTAGGGATGTTGATAATAACTTCTATACAGTGCCCTTCATTGTGAAAGAGCCCAGAAGGAAGGGAGCCTGCAGACACAGAGATCCAAAAAGGATTTTTGGATGGGACATTCATCTCAACCCATCTCTGTTAGGAGTATTTTTGTTTTATTTTGTAAGGATATTGAAGGAAGAATCTGGACATGAGACTTAATATTTGAATATCAAGCCTTGTCCATCTGTAAGAGTTCCTCATCCATCACTATAGGCAGGCCATAAAGCCTCTTGCTGAAGCTTTATAAATGGTCCTGCCTGGTCCCAAGTGCCGAGACAGAGTGAGCTCCATTTTCATGGTTCAGTTCGCTGGAGGGGGGCGCAAGCTGAACAACAAATGCAGTTTATAATTGCCCAGCCGTTCTGCTTGGAGGGTCTGAGCGACTTAAATGTCACGGTATACAAATGGGAATTGTTGGGAGAAATAGAGCAATGCCAGGCTCAAAGTGATTTCAAAGGCATCCGAGTCCAGAGTTTTGCTGGCTTGTAATACAAGTTTAAGGCTGCAGCAGATTGCCTAAATTCCCTCAGAAATATTAGTTCTCCTCAGTGAAAGGCCTTGAGGGCAACATAGCAGATCCTCAGTGAGCGCTGTGGTAGAGACCTAGCTTGGTAAGCTGGAAGGTTTGGTGGCTGTGGTATTCGGGGAGGATATGTGTATCCAAATCCCTACCAGCTGGGGTGGGCCTAGCACTCCAGCCTCGCTGACTTTGCCTCACACATTGGCCTATTCTGCTTGTGCAAAAAAAAAAAATGCTTTTTCCATTCTAGGTCCTAATAAAACAGGAGCATCTGCCTTTCTCCCCAAGGGGCCACATAAGAGACCAGTTTGTAGCTTTTGGGATGAGCCGGTGCGAGGTCCCCCCATGGGACACAAGCCTCTGCTGCGKGGAACTCAGGGCAGAGCCAGCCCGAGGCATCTCAGAAGCACCAGGAACAGCCAGCACTGCCAATCCCGAGGCCAAGAGGCCGGGGCTGGGTTGCTCCTGCCGCAGGAAAGGGGAAGGAAGGGAGGGCAGAGCCTCGACGGAAAACCAGGCTGGTTACCGCTGCCTCTGCCCTCCTAGAGATAGGAAGGCAAAGACAGAAGTCCTGTTGCAGGACAGGGCCCTCCGTTTACCCTGAAGGGAAGTGCAGCCCCGGTGTCCTTGCTGCCCCAGCRCTGCTGCAGCAGCGGGGCTGGTTTCCCAGGACCCTGCACTACTGTGGCAGCCTGTTGTCCTGCCCCTGCAGTGCCGCTGGCACTTGTCCTGCGTGGGCGCCCACAGCAGTCCAAGTTAGTTCCCCTTTAGAGCCCTGCATCTGCATCTGCAGCACATCAGTCYGTGGCAAAACACCGGCATCTGCCAAAGTCTTGCTTGGTACCACTGGGTGGCTGATGCTAGCTGTGGGCAGAGCATCTCAGAGCCCATCTGGCCACAGGAGAAAGGCAAAAGGCAGAGAGAGAGAAGGAGCTTTCCTTATGGTGGATTCTCTCTACTGTAATTTGGGGTTGGACTGTTTGGGCCGTACTACTCACAAGGCAAGGGTGACGTGGATTAAATACAACATGATGCTGCACTGATGCTGCACTCTATTTTCTAGGTGTTCTCCTCAGGACAAGGTGTTGAAGTGAGTATTCTCTTACTCCTTTTTCTTTCCTTCCTCTTTTTTTTTCTTTTTCTTTTTTTTTTTGGAAGAGTAAGGTAGATGTTAAAGATCCTAGGCAGTTTCAAAAGAGTTTGGATAAACCAAAATCTGAAAATTTGTGGGATTTTTTTTTTCTCACTAAGGCATTTCCTAATAAAGAGGTGGTTTGCAAGCACTCAGTACCTGGCATTCTGTGATGATATTTCACAAAACTTTAGGAAGCAGTAGATAGGAAAACTGCTAATATATAAAACATCTATCTTGAAATAAAAAGTTCCTAATTTTAACAATATGAGGCATCCCATGCTGGGAAGCAAGGCATTTGTATGTGTCATATGTAATTTACAGCAATAGGTGCACACAAACATTCACTTGCTCCCAGACTGTGAACRGGAATGTAAGACACTCATTTCTAAATCGGGCACTTGCACCTGCATGTGTAATATTCCAAACATAGCCGGCTCCTCTGACTATTTCCCTGTGTCTGATTTTGGATATCTGCTGCATGCTAGATTAAACTAATTACTTGCTTAAAACTCCATCTTAAATAAAAGTTTGCCTGCAATATTTATCCTGGAGTTGTCTGCAGTATTAGTTCAGATGTTACATTTCCAGGGGTTATTTTTTTTGATTGTTTCAAAACATTTTTCAGCCCTCTCTTTCACTTCTATCTGGTCTCCCAGTAAGCCCTCCTAATCYTGATATGCTGTTTTCCTGGTTTCTCTGGTAATCTCTTTGAAGAGAATGGACAAGCTAGACCATCCCTCAAATGAGGTAAAACATTTCCCAATGTGGCCATGACGTTTGCCAAGAAATTCCTGACTTAGCATGAGTGTTCCCATCCTGCACTCATGTTCCCTGGCATACTCTGGCCCRGAGAGGCTCTTTTGACCGTCCAGGCTGCTGTGGCCTCTCCACTGCGCTCAGCCGGCCCCAGCGCCCAGCCGTGAAAAGCCCATCCCCACAGACACCCTTCAGCATCCTTTGAAACAACCAACTCCGACAGCCACGCACGGCTTCTTTTTACAGCCCAGCTGCCTCTTTCCGAGGAAGGCTTTTCTTCTTTTCCCTCTCTGTGCCTCGAGCAAGCCTTGGCCACACAGGCCAGGCCAAAGCGAGGAGGCCCTAAGAAGGCGGCACAGGAACAGGCCCCGCTGCGGCCTCCCGGCTGCGGCAGGGCCCGCGCACCCTCCTCACCCCACTGCTCCATGGCAGGAGTCCCGGCRCACGCAGGGCCCCCGTGGATGCCGACACGGGAGAGCGTGGGGATGGCGAGGGCAGAGCGGGGCCTCAGGCCTCCGTTACCGGCCTGCCCCAACACCTCCCTCGCCACCCCGCATGGAGGAACAGAGGGCCCCTTGTTCCTGGCCGCTGCTGGCTGCCTAAAGGGAAGCGGGATTTGTTCTTCTAGCTCTGCTTAGGAGAGCATTCAAATACAGAAGTTAAAGCCAGGCTTATCCTCTCTCTTTTCTTTACATAAAAGCTCCCACTCGAAGCAGACATCTTCTGAAATCTATTATCCTCTATATTGTTCATAGTGGTTCTAATTTTTCCCACGTTGCTCAAAGCTCTATCCTCAGGTGACTGTTCTGTGAGCTTTCACAGCTCAGTTTTACCTTTCAAATAAGATTTATCCATTAAAACACAATTCCACTGCTTTTTGCAGCTATCATTTTGTCACATATGGATTTATTCAATAAATGCTTTTAATAGCAACATTTCTAGGCTTTGTTTGTCAAGCGCTGCCAGGCTTTTTACAAGCCAGGGTTGGCACAGACATTGAATTGCCGCTCTGTACCAGAAGAGTGTTCCCTGCTGGTCATAACTGAGGTCCTGCACACACCACTAAATGAAAGGAAATTAAAAATATGAGTATCTACATAGTTCACAGCCAGTAAATGGTGGAGAATAACASGCTTCCAGCAACTTCTGGACCTCGGCAAAGCTGCTAATAGAAGCAGGGATGTGCAATTTTGATTTGCAGTTCCAAGATCTACCCCAAGACTAAAAGCCCACRCTCAACATCACCACCAGGGCAGGGAACTAAAATGCCATCAGCAAGGATAAATTCAGCTAGCCCAAGGGCACTGTGAAGTAACAGCTGAGAGGACAGGAAAGAGAGGTCAAGATCAGTATGCCAAAAATCCTCGGGGGCCGGGTCAGGCAGAAAGCTGTGGTGGGTGAGCAGCATTGCTCTCGTCTGTCATCAGCCTGCTGGCGAGCAGTGGGYCTCCAAGGTTGCAACTTGGTGCGTGTGGCATCCGTAACTGCAGGACTTCTTAAGAGTCTCTGAATAACTGTAAAACAAACAAATAAAAAGTTGCTGTACAGGAGAGGGAGCCTCTTCTTTTGCTCTGTTTCCCCAATCTCATACTTTTTCTGAGGCCTTTGGGTGTCTATTGTTAAATCCTTGGCCCAAATTCTCCTCCCTGAAAGTGGTACAGTACAGCTTTGCTAAAACACTATCAAAAGAGAAAAGTTACATGTTGCCCAATTTTCATTTTTTAGCCTTTCCAAAAATTATCAACTCCTTTTGGTGCCTCTTTTGCTCTTTCAATTAATTGTTTAGGACATTCAGACATGAGGAGGATCTCTCTTTGCTCATCTACCCCCATGCTCTCCATAGTCCACATGGTCCCACAAGGACTTATTAATTAAATTCTCTCAACACACTGTTTTCCTTCTGACTATCTCTGTATTCTGTGCTGCTGCTTGTGTACATTGCTGAGAAGAATCAGAGAGAGCTGAGAACCAAATAAAAAAAGCCCTCCAGGAATACAGTGTTCGATTATACAGAGAAAACCCACAGCAGAGATTGCTCATCTTTATTTCCCAGAGGATACCTCAAATATCTTTGTTCTTTGGCTTTTTAAAAAGATTTTCCTTTTCTGGTAAAATCATTTTACCAGTGAACTGCAAGCCAAGCTTTTGGTCACATTTACCTGCCCTTCCATTATCAGCTGTTACCCACTGGTYGTTTCCATGCTCTGCCTCCAGGGTGACCCCATTAGCAGCATTCCCACCTCATGGTGGCCCCGCTTTCCTGGGGTCCAGGACCCTCCACAAACTCTGGCTGTGCTGGAGAGAGCCTGACTTCATACAAAGCACACAGTAGGGCTTCCTCACCAAGTGTCATAAATGCATTACCAATGATAACAGCGATGATGAGCTCCCTAGAGAGGCCAGGAAAGGAATGAAAGGGGGGCCCGAAGCCTCCTCTCATCTCCCAGTGTGCTCTACCGCTGTATGGACAAGGAACAACTTCTGTCAGTCAAAGCCAGTTTCCCCAGTGCTAGATTTACCACAAATAGCCCACAGAATAACTCTTAAAAACATAAATGGTAGGTACAGTAGAAGGTATAATTCACCAAGCATTTCAAGCTGAGTTTCGTGCTTCTGTCAAAGTCCATACATTTGTAATGGATGGTCATAACCATCATGCATACGTTATATGTGTGTGCATACACATGTTTTGATACATACAGTATTTTGCACTTATCTAAAAATAAAACTGCAATAGGGAAGATGAAAATRTAGCCATCTCCTTACATTTTGTGCTGGGAACCTGGCATTACCTCCAGTTTGCTGCCTTCCCAGCTGGCTAGCTCGTATATCGTTTATGTTGGATGTCCTCCAAGATTAATGCCATCATCTGCATAGTTTAAAAACTCTAATCTTGCTAAATCTCTTTGCCTTGAAATTTGATTGTACCTGATCTTCATTATTTTAATTGTTTAATGTATGATAATTAAGGCTTAATTAGATCTAACAGATCCCAGTCAGCCCAACATCTTCACATCCATCTGAAAGCTGTGGGAAGCCTGAGATATAAAAGAGTTGATTCTATGCTGGTTTTTCAATCCATAAACCAGGTATTATTATTTTTAGCACTGACATGTTTGACTGCAGGCAAGTCATTTATCTTTCTGTTTCTCCAAGGGATTCCAGCTTGCTGTGTGAATAGCCTCACGGGGTGTCAGTGCAGGTTGACATCTTTACACACAAATGTTACGAATGTAGCCATAAACTCGCAGCCTATCGAATACGCAGCTGCCTCCTAAATGGAACCGACTGCAGCTTATGTATGAAAGACGATGATGACCATGGCAGCCTCTAAATATGCATGCTGTCTCTGCATCAAGCAAAACATAAGGCAGCCTTCTTCAGCCCCTTCATATCAAGCTCTGGTACCTCTCTTGGTACCTTCTGGGTGATGGGGTTGCAGCGTATATGGAGGGATATCTGGAAAACGCTGTTGCCACAGGATGTGCAGGCCTGGTCTCTACATCCCCAGCAAAACATGACTCTAGAGACATGGCCAAAGCCAAGGATGCACCTCCAATTCTGCCTAGGTCCCGGTTTCAAGGATCAATCTTTGCATTGAGTTAATTGCCAGTCATCTCTTCTGAAGATGGAGCTGGGAAAAGAGCAAGCAGTAATCATGTTTTCCTTACAAACAGCAAATGAGATTGCCTTCCTTCTCTTCTCCATCATCTGAGTGCTTCAGCAGTTAGACTACTCACACAGGACATGGGAGCTCCATATTTAATTCTCCATCTCAAAGGAGATAGACCCACTTCTCCAGGGCACATTCCAGCTACCACAAGGGCTTCACATGGGGATCTTCAGCTCCTGCCAGAAGTTTGTCTCTTTGTCCAAAATATAAGTTAGAACATTGATTCTGRAAGAAATCACAGCTTTCCAGTTTACTAGGGCTATCAGTTGAGAGTGAGGAGACTTGGTTCTGCTCCATGGCCCAAGGACTACTTGTGTATCCCCTCCATGCTCTTCTGTGTGTGCAAAATAAGCAAATGCAGATTACTCTTCTGAAGGGTATCAAGATTCTCCAGCACCCTCCTTGCAGCAGTGAACGGTACAGTGAAAAATTGAGACCACCACACAGATAACAAATCAAGCCTAGACTTAATTCACCATAAAAACAAGATGRGAAGAAACAAACACATGTAGAAACCTGCCATTTTCATATCTACAAGCAAAACATACGTGTTAATGCCCCTCAACCTGATAAAAGACTTTCCCTTCAGCATTGCAGGCAGCCGGCCAAGTGTGTGGGGCTACTCACTTGACAGTAATGAACATATGCTCAAAAGGAAGACACAACAGGTGTGACAAAAAAGCACATGCATTTGGGCCAGCAAAAATGTCTCGTGCCTGTGTAAAATGGATAGGTTACAGAAGAAGCAGCCGCTAACAACTGCACTTTTCACAAACTGTTTTTTTCTGCAGCAGGAATGGTTTTGTGGAGTCGGCAGCCAGGCTTCTCTGAAAATGGTTCAAACAGACTAATTGAAGACCAAAGAAAAAAAAAATCCCAAGAAAAACAATTCCTTCTTTAGGAAGAAGCCAGAGAAAAAGAAGCAGATAAAGGATTTCTAGCAAACACTCAGAGAGAATTTAGTTTTTAAGGCCCTAGGAGGGGAAAAAAAAAGAGAGAAAAAAAAAGAAAAAACGCCTCCTTTACTTCTAAATCCCTTTGAACATTTTCAAAGCTGTAAAAATATTCAGCTAGAACTGCTGTAATCAAAATAATAAACTGTATATTTTTGTAACCTAATTTGGAGATTCTTCGTACTCCCCAAATGCAACACGGGCTGATTTTTAGGCAGAAAAAAAAAACCCATATATTTCTGTTGTTGATCTTTTCTCTGGAGAAAATACACTTTTAAGTTAAGCGTTGGCTGGAGCCATAAACCGGCGGTAGGTGACAGCCCTTAGCGCCGGAGATGGAGGCCTGGCGTCGGCGGCGATGGCGCCGGGCTCGCGGGCCTCGCTCTTTGTTCGCCTGTGGCGGAGCCGCCGGGCRCTCCCGGCCCAGGTGGGCCGAGCTCCGCATGCCCCGGGAGCCGCCACCGCAGGCGGGGAGGATCCCGGCGGGAGCTGCCGTTGCCAAGGGAGAAGTTGTGGGAGCACGAAGCTCCGTGCGGGGGCAAAGTCCCCAGCAGCGCGGGCTGCGGGAGGAGGAGCGTGGTGGGGTCTGGGGCAGAGCAGCCAGGCAGCGCGGAAGGGCCACCATGCTGCGTGTGCTCGGATTCGGAGCATCCTTTAGGCTGTTTTGTCTCGTTTGCTCCGAGAGCCAATATGTTGGAGACACAAGTCGTTGTGCGGAGGTGGGAAGGGTGCCAGGAGCAGGGTGGGAAGGASGTGCCGGGCAAACCATGGCGCAGGTGCCAGCCAAGGCTCGGCGTGTACACTGCAGGAGCCATACGGGAGCTATATGGGAGCTATACAGGTGTGTCGCCTTAGCTTCTTCCTGGAATCTGCAGAAAGATCCTTCCCTGAGCTTGTGCTTCGTGGTTCTGAGGGACAAGCTCGATGTTTGACATGGAGTGTCTGTGTGCTGAGAGCCTGGAAGTGCTCCGGCAAAAACTGAACACTCACCCAGGCTTCCCTCATTACCAGCAAGCTGTAGGAGATGGAGAAAATAAACAGCCTGGGCAGCTGGTTCAGTGCTGAATAGCTGCAGCGTATGCACCTCTCACGTGTTGATGCAAGCATCCTCCAGGGAGTTCAGTAGATTCGGAAAATTCCTTCCTACTCGAGCACCGTCCGTATTTCTAGCTGGACACTTGAAAATCTTCACCTTGTTTTGCAGTGCGCGTATGACTCCCCTCCAGCCTGTCTCCCCTTTTCCATAGGTGCTGAATACAACACAATCTCCCAAGTCTTTAGGACTGCCTATGAATTTATACAAGAGGTTGCAATTGTAGCAGCAACTTCAACTGCTTCTTTTCCTTCAGCCAAATCCTGAAACTCCATATGCTTCAGACTTCCTTATTCCCTCCCCTTCCTTTTTATTTTCACAGCAGGTGAAACATTTTCTAGACTAACTTTTGGAGGCCTGTTTTTTTCCCCAAATTGTGTTCCTCTAGCTATCACTGCACTTTATCAAAAAGTCTAAATTCTCCTTACCAACCCTCTGCTTTTTGCCTCTGCATTTCAGGTGCAAATCATCTTCTCTTAGCCATAGTCCTGGTACACATCTGAATCCATGGCCTAACAAGTCCTATATGTTGCTCTCTCCATACAGTTCCTTTGTATTTGTGGGCATAAATTATAACTAGCTATGGTGACACTTTAAGTACAAGAAAAATAGCACTGTAAAAACCTGCAGCTGATTTGCAGATTTGTTTGAGGGATTGAGAGGAGCTCACACCATTCTGCAGTCAGTCTGCAGCTATTCCTGGTGCTTGAATACCACTTATTTCACAGAGATCATTTGTTCACAACCTAGTTGCACTCTAATTAGCCTAGCCAGAAGCTTGCCAAGTTTGAAAAACAAAATAAATGTTTAACTGAGAAGTGAGACATTAACTATTTGAGAGATCATAACCATAACATCCATAAACTGGTTAGTCTCCTTCAGTAGTTTTACTTTCTTCTCACATAAAACTGATTTTCAAGTCTAGTAATAAAAAACATCTTAGAGAATCCAAAAGTCAGTAGAAGAAGAGCAGCTGCCCTATGAGACCTTATGCCTGGAGTTTTTCTTCAAAAATTCTTCATCAAGGCTTAGGTTTTCAAAGCCTGCCCTAAATAAATGACGAGACAGATTGGGTTGGGAAGTCCAGCCATGGTTTGCAAGGGACAGGTTCTCCCTTCCTTGGCCTCAGGTTTTCCATACAACCAYGGGCCAATCGTGCAGACGTTTGCCAGGGAGCTTTGTCCCTAAGGAAGGACCTAATCCTGCAGGACTGGGTGTAGATGTCAATTTGCTGCTGACCTTTATACAACTGCAAAACTGTAACCTGGCCACACTGCGAGCGCTCCTGCTACCTTTACACTTCCTGGGGCTTATCTGTTACGCAGGATCAGACACGTCTCACCAGCTGGGAAGCTGTGCAGAGGACCATCCTTTATCACAGTACAGTAGTATCTGTCTATGTTCTGGGGTCTTTTTGTTTGTTTTTTTTTTTTGACACCAGCCCGCTGGTATCCTGCTTAAATGGGTGACTACAGAAGATCTACAGAAACTTTCCTGTCTGGAGAAGCTATCCACCTTCAGCAAGAACCTGACAACCGAAAGACAAAAAAGGACCTAAGTAATTCTTTTTTTTTCTTTTTTTTTTTTTTTTGGCCAGCTAAACTAACCTGTAAAATATACAATGCTCACATTATCTTATAGAGCAGTAAGGATTCTGTCGGCTAGCCCTAAATCTCCTTACAAGAATATTCTAAAAACCTGGTGATGCTGGGTTGGTTTGAAATGTGTGCATAGATTAAAAAATCCATTTGCTTAATTATAGTTAGCTTCTTTTAAACTAGATTTACTAGTCCCACCACATACAACTGAATCTGTAAAATGTCAGACAGCTAGGAGGGGGACATAACAAGAAGCCAGAAATATCTAATGAGTATAAATACCAAAGCAGGAGATTCTCCAGTCAGGGTGGAAAAGGGTCTGTAACGATTAGTTTTGTTGTAGGTCTTGACATGAGCACATCCAACAGCCTGACTGAACTTTTTGGATGAGGAAAGAGCCATTTACTGGTTCCCAACAGAGTATTTCTGAGACCTCATTACTAAATCTGACAAAACCCTTACGTTATTAAACGAATTGATACAGAGCAAAGAGAGCAAGGAGACTGCAAAGATAGTAACAGACTCTGGAGATTCTGAGAGGAAAAGAGGTGTTCGGGGTGGGAAGGAGGAAGAGGCAGGACAAGAAAAATCAAGTTGTTCTGCAAGAAATACAACAAGCCAAGTGGGTTGGATTGCTGGTTCTCATCGACTCGTGGCCCTTGCCTGCTGGCATGTCCTTTGCTGTGCTAACCAAGGCCTCTCCTCCACGCAGGGCTCACAGTCTCTGAGCATCCGCTGCCTGGCTGCTCTCAGCTGCTATATAAAGGCCGGCTTCCACCTGCCTTTTCCTCAGTGCAGACATTCAATTATGCTCTTTGTCCTCTGTACAGCTGCAGTTTTTCACCAACCTTATTTATCTTGAGATTCCAGCTTGTCGTTGAAATTGGGCTCCGCAATTTTTAAGGGGAACTGCTGAATGTACAGAGAGATAAACAACACAATCTCATAAACTCCATTTCAAAGGCAAGCAGGCTAAAAAATGCCAGTTTTTAATTTCTGCTCCTGTTCGTGCCAAATGTTGTCTAACATTTCAGCAGCAATCTGTGGCCCTGAGAGCCTCTTTCAATATCCTATCAAGAATATAAAGTAAATTGTGATAAATGTAGTCAGTATAAAATAAAATGAGACCAAATTGGTTGCTGGGATGCAAAACTGAGCCTGACAGGCAGTTGAGAGGAGACTTGCAAGAAAATGCTTATTTTGTGTATTTCTTTGGGGCTTAGCAGCCTGGAGCTGTCAAGATGGTTTTGCACATGCTCAGCAGCAGAACAAGGGAACTGAGTGATTTACCAGTGGAAAAAGTGAGTTCCTGCTGCATTGAAAAAGCCTTCAAGAGGTGGGAAYAAGGTTGGAAGTATCTATTAGTACTTGTAAGTTGAATAAAGTTTTTTTTAAATATGCATTTAAGGGTTTACGTTTCCCTTGTAAAATTACATCCCAAATTTCTTTAGCAACCAGTTATAAAAAAAAAAAATACTAAAAAACTTGTGAAAATCTTGATAAATTAATCACTTCTCCTTCACTCATGCCTCTATTAAACTATTCAGGTGACTGTAAGAGACATTAATGAGACCTATTTTCCTCCTGTAGAAATTGTAGTTCCTTAGACAATCTCATAAAAGGTGAGTGCTCCATCATTCCACTTCTAAGCATAACTTGAAATGAGGAATAATAATTCCTTGGATTACCTTTTAAAAATAAAAGATCAAAATGCTACTCGTTGATCCCTTTAACTGCAAATGTTAGTTAAGAGTCTGCATATTTCATACAGGAGTGAAGCTATTTCATTTTTGAGGCCCTGTAGAAATCCTCAGGCTGTACCCTATGGGACTGGTAACTTACATTCTTCCAAATTATGAGTTCACTTGAGTGCTTCTCCTGATGCCTTCAGCTCTAGCAGTATTATTTATTTCTAAAAGAATGTAAATAAAATAAATAATGTATTGTTTAAAAAAATAACAGACTAACTCAGGATAAATGCAAACAAGACGAGATGAAATTAAGTGGCAGAAAGATTTCAAACAAGACATTATGGAGCCTTTTTCCTGACAATCAACATTAAAATAACATTAGCTAGTACATTCAAATAAATAAAAAATAAGCCCCAAAATAAATCAAAGTAGATATAATAGAATGATGTTAGTCCCAAGTCTGCTTCAAGACATCCTGTCTCTTCTGGTAACACTTCTTAAGTATTATCTTGCTCACTCGAGAACAGTTACACAGAAAGGAAATGAATGCAAGCTAAAGAGAGATCCAGGTTCCCAAATCTCAGCATCTATTGTTTCCAAAATAAAAGAACTGTTTTCATTTATAAGCCCAAAGAATTATTCAGGGTTTAGTAACTGAGGGTGTCATTCAGCCCTACAGAAAGGGCCAGGATAAGGCCAGGGCACAGCGAGTTTATCCCTGCTTTGTTGTACTCACAGGAGCTCACACCTGCAGCCTGGAGATCCCAGCATGGCCAGTGCTCACGGGTGGGAAGGTGCCCATCACACCTGCACGTGCCCAGCACCACGTGTGTCCATTTCAGCAGCATCCACCAGGTTATCTGAGAGAGAAATGCAGGAAGAAAACCTCTGGGATAAGTTTTTTCAGTATTTCCTTGGAATACATGCAAATACCTCAGCATTGGGCAATGGGTTGAAAACGCGACTATAAWAAAATCTTAATATATAAACCAGCATATGCCACTTGTAGGCCTCTGGCTGGCTGAGCATTTTCAAACACTTATGTTCAATCTCCTTTTTGCTGCTGATGGCTGGAGATATTTTATTTTAATGTTTTCACAGCTCTGGTGACTGCAGCAGCATTCCTGAAATGCTCTTTAGCTGGATCTCAAAATAGGCTGATTATAATCAACCTTCTTCAAGAGTGTTGAACGCTCTTTTTCCACCTACCTTTTCAGCTTGCATTTAATATTCCAAAATCAATCCAGGTACAAACCCAGTTTCCCTTTTTCTATGGGAAACTGAACACACTAACAATACTAACAATACTAAGCTGCCTGTTTCCAAAATGAGCTCTCATCTCTTTAAGAATTTCCACACAAGTTAACTGGTTACTGAAATTTATTGCAAGCCTTCAAATACAGCTAGGTCCTGGTGTTCYATCCCATTTCGTACACTAAGTAACAGGAACAACATTTCTCTACATCATATTAAGCTTTCGGTGACACCTGTGCAAATTTACTGCTTTTCATACCCTTCTGGAACATCTTCTAAACAAGGAGGAACACAATCCAGCTTTCTGCTGCAGAAATGTTAGTAGGGAGCAAAAAGCCACACTAATTTATTTTGATCATTTGGTGACAGGTTCCGTGAAAGAAGTTGACACTTTACATCACTTCTTTTTAGACTCAAAGAGCACGCTAACTCACTATTTTTCGGTTCTGTGTTGTTTATTTGGTGAGTATTTTGACATTCTCCTTGGATACTTTTCCCTTTGCTAACTAAATGTTTGCAAACATTTTAAATTCTTTTCATGAAAATGACCTTTGCATTTTACTGACAGAGAGGAGAATCTGAGGATGACTCCTCAGGTGGGGACACTTGCAGTTATCCACTCCCTCACGCTCTCCCTCTAATGTATATTTTTAAACCAGCCCRTAATCCAAATTGTTTGAGGATTTGAATCCAAAGAACGTGATTACTTAAGCAGGACTTGCTGCTACTTTGATACTGCAGCTGAATRTGCCATTTTTTATAAAACTAGACTATGGACAGTCAGGGGAGATGCTGAGAACAGGCTCCAAGGAGATCTTTGATGAAGCAGAGCATGTGAGAGCCACTAGTTCTAACGACTTTCCATGCAGTAATGGAAAATAGCAGCCACATCCACAATTTATATTTGAGAGCCCAGCACCTGACACACAGTGAGAACCTATCTCCTTTTGTCACCACTGAGGGAAGAAAAAAAATAAAGAATAAAAATTATCCCTYCCTGCACTAAAATATCTCAGTTTGTCCTGAAAAGTGTGGTAGGTGACTCAAAAGCACAATTAGACTTAACAAAAAGAGAGGAATGAGATATGTATCTTCTCATCTGCACGTTTTCTGAGCAAACCTTAGAGCTGGACTTACAAATCAGAGGCTGTGGCCAAAGAAAGAAATGAAACTCGCTGGGACATCTTCCTAAAAACGTTGATGAAAGGCAGTACCCCTCCACTGGTCTTGCTTTTGTCAACTGGGAGCTGAGCCCGCTGGCAGCTCGGGAAGACTGTCCTATATACAAAATAGTCATGTAGCCTGAGTGTCAGCATGGAAAGTACAGCACAAATCACCAGCAGTTAGGAATCTGAGAAAGCAGCTTTCAGGAAGGCAGCTCCTGACAGCAGGATCCAAGACAACAGAGCTGCCAGTTTTCTTTCCCCCATAGGCCATAGATTTGCCGAGTCATGCCCTGGTCCCCAGAGAAATGCTCCGTGAGGGGCTGCCCTTCCTCGTTTTCCCTTGCCCAGGAACCCAGAACATCTCTATTTTCTAACAGCAGCCTGGTTAGCCCGGAAAGAAAATAACACTGTGCTTTCCAATTCCCGACAGGATTTACTGTCTTGTAACAGTTATTCCTACTGGCTTCCTGGACTGCCTTCCCTGGCCTCCGTTAGGGTAACCTTCCCCCCAAACCTCCTGTCGTCCTCCTCTTGCAAATGGATAACCCTTCCTGGCTACCCACCCACTTCTAATTGGATATGGGGAGGCAGGGGGAGGAATAACTAAGTACCTACAGGAAAGATGAGAGAGAAGAACGAACTAAATGCTGCGTTAGGAGGGGGAGTGAAAGATATCTGAGGTCATTTTCTTTCATTTCCTTCCACTTCTGCCTTTCGCAGAAAACAGCGAAGCAATGCACATAAATATACATATATATGCACTTTTATATGGAAATGTGTCTAGCTCTGCAAATGAGTCTCTGCTTCTAGATGTTGACAAGCATGCCTGACAGCCTGAGATAGTGAAAGTGCAAGTCATCGAACATAAAGCCGCATGGAAAGCAGCAGAGAAAAGGCATTTCAAGAGAAGGGAAACGGCTCCAAGCATAGCCTTTCGAGCAACTAAATTCCCCAGTCAAAACTGCAACARGCAAGACAAAACACAGCATTCCTCGCTGAGGGAAAAGTGCAGGAAATGTAAGAATGGAAGGCAGCAGGCAAGTATCGGCTCAAGAGACAGCCCGTGCAAAGGTGAGTAATGTCTAATTCCCTGGATCTGTTTCAAATGGCAGCGTTCAGGAAAGGCAGAGAAGTGGAAATGGTGCTTGGCAAAAATAGCCTCCTTAAAGGAGAATGAGTGTCGCTTCTATTGACATATGGGGCTGTGAGCAAACAACAACTCTGGCGAGTGGCAATGAGGGTTGTGGCAGGACACATTCCATTCACGCCAAAACGGGAAAGAATGGAAAGAAGTGAACGGAAAGACTGATGGTTTTCTTCCACAAAACTATTAATGCTGCCTACAGCATTATCAACAGCCTGCTGCACTCAGTTTTCCCTTCTATTTCCAGAGATAGCCAAATGCAGTACCTGCCTGTGCTGCCTCTAATGTTTGCTCCAGTGGGGATTCTCTAGGTACTTTTAAGAATTATTATTTTTCCTGCATCCATTCATTTTTCCCCGTGCTACCACCAAATATTCAAGCAGCAGTCAAACCGTGTAGCCTATATTTGGGCTGATGCCATTTCAGAGAGAGTTTTCTACAAAATAAAGGTTTCAAGCTTATGTTAAAAATGAACTCTGTAACATAACTTCAAGCAAGTTGCAGCAAATGCTGTGCCTCCATGCCATCTGTGTTCAAGTACAGCTCCCATCCTATTGCTTCCTAAAGTGGAAAATARTGATAAAAAATAAAAACAGATAAGATGAAGAATTGTGTGTGCTGGAATACATTATGAACCTCAGCCTTAYGGTGCTTTATACAAAAACAAGGTGCACGTATGTGCGTAGCCATGCAAAGTTACCACTGTGGCAATAGAAAGGTTGTATTCTTCATTCTGTGTGAATTAGGCAATATTCTCACCTGAAATGGCTGGTGCACTCAGGTGAGCTCTGCTCTACCYGATACTGCCCATTGCTCTGAATACTTTGCTTTTTCCAGCTCTCTTCACAAGCRTTCCAGAAATACTCCACAGGAAAATGATGGAGATTCTATAAACCCAGGGGTAAATGGAAGGCACTAGAACTGAAGAGAAATGGAAGTAAAAAGAATATCCCACTGTTAAATCAGTGTTTAAGATAAYGGAAGTTTCCGGACAAGACTTACACAGAGAAACATGCACATTGTGACAAACCTCAACGTACCTTTGAGACCATGGAAAGGGTTATAACAGAACCATAAACACTGCAGGTAAAGTGGCACCACAGAAAATGTATCTATCCTTTGTACGATACAATATTGGAGTAAATTTTATTACAAAGAGCACCTTGTCACAACGAACTTCAAGTCTTTTGGGATACTTAATCAAAGGGCGGGATGGTTCCTTTGAAGATTTAGGAAAAAAATCCCCGGRGTTTTATTTATTAGTTTATTTTGGAGGGGATGATTTTGCCACATTCTGAGGCCTACAGCCGTTTCACAGGTCCAGGGACAGACAAGGAGCCTACCAGGAGGCTACCCAGGAGCAGAGAGATGGAAAATACATAGGAAAAGCCCTGCAGGAGCGAGCGGGGTCTCGGCACACAGGGCTGCCAAGCCCTGCAGACCTTTTCCCCCTCCCCTAARGCCTATTCCTGACGAGGGGCAGGCCGCTCGCCAAGGACACCAACACACCCAGGGCTTCCTCCTCCTTTCCCAGAAGCGAGTCCCTCTCTCTCCTCGTGCTACTCCCACACACTGCCCAACGGACAGATTTTAACGACTCCGTCTGCATAAACGCAGGTGCACCCTGTGTTTCGGCGGTGGCTGCACGAGTTGTTTTTAATGGACAGCCGAGGGAGCGCTTGGGATCCGAGCGGGAGCTGCTCCAAACGCTGCTCCTGACCCATCTCCAGGCAATGCTCCCAGCCGAGACGCTGCAGCCAACCCTGGAACCACGGTTTAAGGGTTTATATCTCGCGTTAAAAAAGAATAAGGCTGCGTGCTTACGGGAAGCACCTGCAAGAGCTTCAGGTGAGCCCGTAAGAGGGAATCTCCCCTTCCCAGGGATSATGTTCATATCCCATCACATTAACACATGCAACATGCATCTCTGAGGGAAAATATCCCCCATTTCCCCATCCCCAGTATCTCCATTCCCTGTGTTTTAACTGGCTGCTCTCAGGGAGCAGATGCACGCGAGGAACCTCGGCCTCCCGCGCCGCTTCCCGGCCGCGGCCGCTGCCGACACCCGGCGCTGGCGCCCGGCCACTCGGCCGCTCCCGGGCAGACCCCGCACCAGGCCGGGGCGCGGCCCGGGCCCGCGCGCAGCCAACGCTCCCGCGCTAACGGCGTTCCCGCAACAGCCCTCATTCCAGCGCCCTTCTGCCGCCGTCCCGCGCGCCCTCCCCGCCGGCAACGGCCGCGCGGGAGGCGCGTGGGCGCCCGCCGCCCCTCTCCGTGGCCCCCCGCGCCCCTCCGCACCGGGGCTGCCCTCGGGGGCTCCGCACGTCCCCCCGCTCCGCGCCCAGGGCCACTGCGCAGCCCCGCGCAGCCTCCAGCGCGGCCGCCATCAGCGCAGCCCGACACCGCCTCCCCGCCGTGCAAACCGTGCCGGAAACGCGGAGAAAAAAAAAAAAACAGGGTCGGGGGAAGGTTGCGCTTTTTTTT